GAGAGAGAATGCCTGTTTGAAAAATTTTGCACTGGAAAGAAAATGCGTGTTGCTAAACCATAATATGTTCTAAATGAGTTTGGGCAAAATATCTGCCATAGATAGAATATGATGTATTTATACATAAAAAACAATTAACAGAATTCAGTGTTTGCTCCTAGTAGCACAGGTATCTAATTCATTTGCCAGTTATGTCAGATTAATTGTTGATATTTGTACAACCAAGAAACTCATCTGAACATTTCAGGTATCACATGTATTTAATGGAGAGTTACTAAAACTTTCCTTCAAAGAGTGCCCAGCTGCAGTATAAATTATCATATGTTGTGTTAATTGGCTTAAGCGGTCCAGTTGGTCGGTGTGTATGTAACTAACAATAAGAATTATTTGTTTTTAAAAAATAAGCACACAGAATCTTCAGAATGAAAATGTATTAAACACCCCCCCCCCCAAAGTAATGCTGTATATAAATATTGCTATTTACTCTGGGGATAAACTAGTAAGGTAGGACTTACCTATAGCTGCATGTGTTGCAATGAAAGTTCTCAGTTTAATATATATTTATTTTACTGTTTTTTCTGTATTGGGGTATAAATGTTTGTAATCTGAACTCCATACTGACTGGAATTTCTTTTAGGATTCTACTCTCTCCCTTTTCTCCCCCAACCATATCTTCATCTTCACCATATTAGTCATGATATTTTACCAAGGTTTTATTCTGCAAAAAAATCTATATCACAGGACAATTACACAATAATGTTAAAACTAATTTGCTGGAACTTTGTTCCCAGTGTTGATTCCTCGATTTCCCAATTGTTTTCCTGTTATGAGCAAAACATTTCTGAGTCTCCTGACTCAGAAAGCTCTGGCTTCTGATGATTCTTGCTTGAGTTCTCAAAGTAAAGGAACAACCTACCCAAGTTTTTAAATTTCAGACACCATAATTCAAACAAGAAATTAAGTATTAGCACAAAATATTTCTTTGCTTATAGTGAAGTGTTATCTACTTATAAATATTCTCCACATTAATGCTGCAAATGCATGTAGACAGCCATATCTTAACATGTAATTTCAATCTTTTAATGTATAATTAATCAGCCAGGTTCACTGATTAGCTGATTTAATTTTATGTCCAGAATCATGCTTTTATTGCTAGTTCATTGCAATGAAATGTTACTTCATACTGTCTGAATTTCAAGGTATGATTCTTCTTTGTTATCTTCAGCAGTAAAATCATTGAAAATATGTCATAAAACAATTACCCTTCACTAGCTGTAGATAAACATGCAAACACAAAGCAACTTAAAAATATGGAGACACTTCTGGATTGTATGAAGTAAATAAACAAACACCAATTCAGAGAAAATGTGGAGTTTAGTGCAACAACCATATTTGAGTTGCAAAAATCTGGGCAATTGACAGTAAAGTGTTACAATTTTCTGTACTTCTTTGTTTAGAGTTGATGCCAACTAGAGTAACACAGAAGCCCAATAAATAAATAAATTAAATGCTTTCTCTGACTTCAAACCATAAGAATGTGCCCAGAATAATTTTTTAAATTTAGTGGTGCAGATCTCTGCATTATGTCCCAGGCATGACCTTGAGTCAGAAATGATGGAAATAGAGTATGAATAGTTACAATTAATCACTAACTAAAGTTATCTTATTTTCATGTGGGACTTGGCTTGGTGAACTCTTGATAACATTTGCCAATCATTTGTTGAAAATAAGATGTTTAGGTACTAGCCAATACTTACAGTATACAATACAACACAATAGCAGAGTTGGAAGGGACCTTGGAGGTCTTCTAGTTCAACCCCCTGCCTACAATAGCAGAGTTCTACTATTCTACAATAGCAGAGTTGGAAGAGTTAGAGAAAGAGAGGGGGGAGAGATCCTTTGCATTTTCTCATAGCAGTTAATGTTGCACATTGGGTTTATACTATTGATAATTGCATGAGTACTGGAGACAACATTCTCATGCAGTTAAAAGTAGCGCACAAGAGCATTTCTCTGAATTATATTTTGGAGAAAAAATGCTAATTAGTTGATTACAATATTAGTCCTTTTATATTAATTCAGGATAGAGACATTTGCATTATAAGATGCAATAATTAAATCCTATTAGAATCCATTTTTATAAACACCTGTTATCAATAAATCAATTTGCAATTGAAATTTTAAAGACTAAATGGAATAAGGAACATGTACAAAAATGGGAAACAGTTTTAATATTAAAAATCTAGATAGATATTCGATTACAGTTTATTCAATAAAAGTTAATATTTCAGACATTAGATACCATTATGTTTGCATTAAAAAGAGATTAATAAATCCTTGTATTACTGAAGACGAATCAAGAATAACACTTCATTTGAATATTGTGTTTTTGCAATATCCTAAAATTATTGTGTTATAAGGAGGTAAAGATATAAATTAATTTGATTCTGAAGCAAAGTTTAATATTGTCAAATATTCTTTTTAGCTCTATTGACAACTGTACAATAGAAGAATTTGTATCGGAAAATGATTTGCTTATCTGAATAACGATGGCTCATCAACTACTTGAAAGAAAGTCTTCTCACTTGTAATGGTCTTTATGTGTTTGCTTGCTTGTTAAGTTTTCTTCTGTTATTGAAATGAACAAAGTATATGGGAATCGTTGGACAATATATTATCCAGTCCTTTAGGATACTAAAACTTAGCTTGGACAAGGCTGCGGATGCTCATCAAGAGAGATGCATATAACATTAAGTTTGATATCCTTTTGGTATCATAGTTTTTTTTTAACATTCTGTTTAATTATTCTGGATTTCAATCTCGCTTTGGAATTTTGCTGTTTGTTAAAGTTTCTAATGTGAATTTTTAACAATTTATTATGTTTCTATTTTGAATTTTTTTTAAAAAAAGATTGAAATGAAGGGAATAAAATGAAGTTTACCAGACAAGATTTTCAAATCATTTTTGTCATCTTAAAAGCAGGGTGTTTTCTTAAGTAAATTGGGGCACACTTTTTAACAAAGAAAATTTATTTTCTAAGTTATTAAAGTTGTGGTATTTGCATATGGGATGGGGATGATGACCTAATTGTCATGATATCATCACACAAATATTGTGACTTATATACTGTTCTTATTTGTACTACAAGACCATGATGCATAAGTGGATGTTTTGACATCATTATTGTTTGTCATGAATACTGCTGTTTAATGCATCATGAATTCACAGAATAACACTGACTAGAACTGAAGCAGCTTCTTGAATGACAGGCAAAATATTTTCAAAGGAAAAAAAGTCCAATTGCTTTTTGGAGAAAGCATATTTGAGACAACCATCTCCTGGATGATGGGGAATCTCCATAGAGATTCAGTTTATAATATACTGTGTATACAATACACACTGATTTTGTACATTTCATTTCCAAACTTCCTGAAAATATTTTCAGTTTTAGAATGATGTTCAAGCACTTTCCAATGTAGAATTTTGTATCATAATGACTGCTTCAGCATTCAAGAATTATCAAATTGTTCATTAATCCCTGGAATGAATCTCATTCAACTGATAAGGACTTGGGTTATGTTTCCCACATTTGAATTCCACAATTGGTTTAGTAGAATATTTTGTCATAATTTGTATTGTTCTTGGTTTCCCAAATCCATTCCTCTATGCTATTCTAAAAATTAAATAATTCAATAATCTAGAGACTACATCTAATTTTCTGAAGCAAGTCATCAACAGGATTTAATCCAGAGATGGAAGATCTTGTGCTGTTGTTATATTATGAATAAATGCAAATATGTTTGTCTCAGGATAATGATGCAAGATCAAATCTGGGTCAGTCGCTGGGACCAGAGATTTACTCTTCCAAGTTTCCATGGGCTCCAGCAAGAGTCTGAAAGCTTGGAAGAGTAAATCCCTGGTCCCTTTGACCGATCCATATTTGATTTTGTTATATTGTATGAATGTGCATCCGTGTTGTTATATTGTGTGTGCGCCTTTGGATGGATAAATGGATGGATGAGTAGATGGATGGATAGATGGAGGGAGGGAGAGAGAGGGATGGATGGAGAGATGGAGAGATGGATACTCCTTTTCTCTCATACCACCTATCTCACTACCTCTTTTTGTGAAGGTTTGGCCTCCTTCCAGCAAGAAAATACACGAGATTGCAATAACTGATTGCACAGTTCTGAAAAACCATCAGTCTACCTGTAAAAAATCCTGAAGGACAAATAATATAATTAACATTCACGGAATGGAAAGTATTATCCTTAAAAAGTAAGTCTGCTTTATATTAGTACTGATGGTTCCTAATAAAGACTTCAGAGCAATAATGTGCCCACTATGAAGTGTGATGTTACTGATTATCTGGAGGTCCAATAAGTAGAACATGGACACTGACTGGCCAAGCTTTTATCTAGAACCTTTTGGTGTCCCATTGGAGGAATGAGGCATTGAAATAAAATTACAGAAAATGCTCAGGGCAAAATATGCTGTATATCACTATGGAAACATATTAGTAGGGCAACAGCTACTTTTCTAAATAATATTTACTTAGTGAGTTACTATGGAAAGAGATAGGCTGGGGATTGTGACAAATTCCATCACATTTAGATACATTTTTGCTCAATATTGATATAGTCTACCCAAAGTGCTAAACAGTGACAAATGATCCCAAATTCAAAATTAGCTTGGTAATTATGTTTGTTTTATTATTGTTTTCATTTGGATTTGTTTTTAACTTGCCTAACAGTTTCTGAGTTTTTGGGATGTCAATACAATATAATAGCAGAGTTGGAAGGGACCTTGGAGGTCTTCTAGTCCAACCCTCTGCCTAGGCAGGAAACCCTATACTGTTCCAGACAAATGGCTATCCAACATCTTCTTAAAGATTTCCAGTGTTGGGGCATTCACAACTTCTGGAGGCAAGCTGTTCCACTGATTAATTGTTCTAACTGTCAGNAAAAAAAGTGTAGAATAACCACATTGAACATCCAAGCAAATACTGTTTTATCTGCATTATTTGCACTTAGATTCTAAGACTTTTTATAGAAAATGCATCTACTGAATCCACGTGAATCTTTATTTAATGACTTCAGCCCTAGCACCAGTTTGTGTTGAATATTTTACTGTTAAACCAAAAATGTACATCCACATGCTTTTGTAAAGAGATTAAATTGGCCAGATGAGAAAATAAATATATATATGTAACACAGAAAAAAGTTAAAAGAGTACACAGTTAAAACATTTCATACATATTTGCATTATTTGAAAAAGTGTATTAACGTGGGGTTTCTTTTAAAGAGATGTGGAAAATATTTACATCTTACTCTTTTTCTTGGTCCAAAAGAATCCTCAGAAAAGGTGCATGCCTTCATTTCCGTGGGAGACATAGACTGGGGTCTGATGGAGGGTACTATTTAAGTAAGCTTTCTCCCTAGGTAGTTCTTCACCAGAATTTAGATTCTAGCAACTACCTTTCTAGAAAGGTAGTCAGACAGTGCAGTCTTCAGGAATGTATGGAAGATAATCCCCATGGGCATATCATATTGCAGTATCCCAGAAAACAGTTTGTTGCTTGGAATATGGAGGAGGGCTGTATTTCTTGGTTCCTGTGCTTTTTTTCCAACTTGGCAAGATAGGCATGCTGTCTTGTTTGCAAAGTCCTTTCTCTGATTTCTGTCGTGCCTTGATTTCTTTGCACAGACAACGTTTTTTCTCAATCATTTCCAGCATCGTATGGTCTCCATGCAACCACTGCATGCATGTCACCTATTTAAAAAAAGGCACAAGATTTAAACATGGTTGATGAATGGTATTGGCCTCTTGAGTCAAACCAGGAAACAGTTACTTGAGGAAACAAAATATTTAAAACAGTGAAATAAGATAAAGTGAAGGACAACATATAGAAAAATGATTTCAGATGTATAAATGGGTAGCTGTAATTTTCCAGTCTTCATGTCAATATTATTCTAGATTAGCCTTCCCCAAACTGAATCTTTCTGACTTCAAGTCTCATGAATCTATTGATTGCAGTACTGGGAGGTATGGTTAAAAATGAATCTAGATTGTAGTGTAGTGTAGACCAAGAATTTAATAGAGTAGAGTAGAGTAGAGTAGAGTAGAGTAGAGTAGAGTAGAGTAGAGTAGAGTAGAGTAGAGTAGAGTAGAGT